TGGGATAGCTCCCGGAGGCCAATAACGTCGAATTCCGTCCACACTACCCCAATTCCGACCCGCTAAGGCCGATTTTATCGCTAATCCCCTCGTTGGAGGTGGAGTAAAGAAACCGGTTTAAAAGGCCCTTTAAGTCGAAAGAAAGGACTTCGTCATGTGAACGTGTCCAGGCTTAATTCGATTTAACGCTGCTAAAGTCGACCTAAACTCATAGTGTAGATCAGGCCTTAAACAAAGCCTTTGTTTAAGTTTGTTTGTTAGCATATGTATTGATCTGTTACCTTGGTCAGGAGTCCTCAAGATGGTGGGGGGGGGGACGGATTCTGTTTCTCCCCATTGGTCTGAATTATCCATGACATTCATACTGCATCACATCAACTCCAAATAATTAGAAGAATGCCTCTGCTTGCACTGACCAGAGGATGTTTGGATTCTGATGTCAGCCCAGTTCTGCAGCCTGACAGGAATCAGGTGTTGTCCCCAGCGTACACAGAATTCTTCTTTGCAGCCAAACTAGTCTAACATGCATTTTGTTAACTGGAACTGGAACACCAAAACAGAGAAAACAAATGTCTCATTTTCCAGCTTTGTGGGTGAGAGAACTATAAGTGAAGATTATAATGCCAGACACGAATGGCCTTCCTCAGGAATCTGCCAAGAACTTTGCTGAAAAAGATGTTCCTCATCTTAGCGATGGAGCTAAGACTTATTGCACATCTGCCCACCTTTATTCGAATGAAGCTCCTTCTGATCTGACAGCTCAGGCACTGTTCTGGATGAAACTGACAATTTACAAATTTGGAACCTAATCCTGTAAACCAGGGGTCTCAAACTCAATCTACTTTAGGACCAGTGCCAGTCCTCAAATCCTCCCAGTGGGCCAATGTCACTCATGGCACTCAGAACCCGGCCCCCAAAAACTCCACCCCCCGCCCACCTGCCTAAGGCTCTGGGATGGAGTTTGGGTGGGGGAGGAGGTCTGGGGTAGGGGATTGGGGTGCAGGCTCTGGGAGGGAGTTTGGGTGCAGAAGGGGTGAGAGGTTGGGCTCTGGGAGGGAGTTTGGGAGCTGGAGGGGGTGTGTGGGGAGGGGGTGGGGTTGCAGGCTCTGGGAGGGGCTCAGGGGTGCAGTGCTTACCTGAGGCTCCAAGGCAGGGCAGGCAACACCCCCGCAGCATCCCATTGGCCGCAGGGGCGCTTGGGGCAGGGGCAGAGGCACAGCCCCCTCTCCCCCCGGGCCGCAGGGCGGGGCCGGCAACCACTGGAGCGAGCAGGCAGATGCCACTCAGCTCCGCTGCACTGCCAGGGTCCCTGAAGCGGGAGCGCCTGGGGGCGGCAGGTGGGGCCAAGGGAGAGACCCGGCCCCAAAACTGCTGGAGCCCTGTGGGCCACATTGGGGAGGCTCGCGGGTCACAGATGGCCCGCGGGCCAGGAGTTTGAGACCCCTGCTGTAAACCCTTAATCATTTGATCAATCCCATTGAAGACAATGGGACTATTTGCATGACTATGGACCACTTTTGTGGACTGGTAAGAGGTTCAGGAGTCTGTTCTGTTCCTATAAAGGAAGTTGAATCCCCCATTGAAATGCAATGATTGGGTACAATATCATAAAGCAGTTTAGGATACAGTTCTACTTAAAATTTGTCTTTTAATATGTCACACATATGCTGAAATGGCTCCCCACCTAACTCTCATATTCCATATAAACAGACTGAATGCTAACTATTCACTCCCCCCTACCCCACCCCCCCCAATATGTAAGCATGTTGATGTTTGTGTATACAAGAGGGAGGGTCAGAGGGGATGGGGAAAGCGTGGGGGCCCTGGGCTGGGGAGGAGTCACATGGAGGGTCATGTGGGGATGTCACATGCCCCCCCTTATGTCCCTCCCATGAGTGCAGTACCAGCAAGAAAGGATTTCTACTTACACCACTGGGTGAGTGGGTTCAGAGGCCATCTCTCAGGGTCAGGACGCAGGTGGCCAGGTCCAGTGGCTAGAGCAGGAGTCAAACCAAGAGTCAGAGCTAGAGCCCAAGGGCAAGGGTCAGAAACAAGGCAGGACCCAGGGAGTCAGACAGGCAGGCTCCAGAGAGCCTAATTGTGCAGAGAGTGACCAGATAGCAAGTGTGAAAAATCGAGGGACTTTTTTTTTGTGTGTGTGTGTGGGGGGGGGGGGGGGATTGGGGAAGCATAGTTGCATATATAAAAGACAAAGCCCCTAATAGCAGGATGTCTGGTCACTCTAGTTGTGCAGACACTTCCCCATACCTCTCTTTGGGTTTAAATAGGAAGCCCTGACCAATCAGCGGTCCCTGTGTTCCTCCAATCAGGGCCCTGGCGAGGCATCCCTGATGTAGCTTCAGGTTTCATGGTCTCTCTGCTCCATCACTTTGTAGCAAGCTACTGGGTGGGAGCAGAGAAGCACTAGTCACCTGGAAAGATCCAGGTTTCGGAGCAGCGGGGTCATAGCACCCTTATCCAAGGGGCTGCTAGCACAGGACAATGCCTTTGTTTAAAAATGCATTTTATTGATTGATATTTCCAGATTTATACACACACACACACACACACACGATCAGCAGGACATTTGCCTTATACAAAATAAATCCATATTTCATCCCTAGTGGCTGCTCACCAATTGCCCTCTGAGTAGACACAACAAGCCTGATCCTGCAAGTTGCTGAGCGACCCCTGCTCCAAATGATTTCAAAGAGCGTGGGGGCACTGGACGCCCCACAGGATCAGTCTCTAGCCTGGATTGGGAAGCACGGCTTCCCACCGCAAACATCTCCTCTTCTCAGGGGTGGGGACCACCACAAGAGTACACACATGCGACTGGAGTGATACAGTGAGAAGAGCAGGCCCATCTGATCCCTGTTGGAATGGGTGGTCCCCACCCAAAAAGAAATGAGAGAAGCTGGAGTGACAGCCCTGCAGACTAAAAATCCAATCACCCTAGAATAACCCAGACAGAAGCTCTAGAAGATCCCTGCTATACTCCCTCACCCATGTTCCTTAACCTTGAGATGCAGGAAGCACCTGTAAGCAGACAGCCATCCCACCCCAGGCACTCACCATCATTTCATGATGAGACAGCTGAACAATCAGCAGATCTCAGCTTCTACTGTAATAAATCTTGATGTTCTCCTCAGCTCAGTCCTGAGGCACAGTCTGCACCCACAATTATTTATGGGTCGATTATTTAGGTGCCCAAGTATCTGATTTATAGGCCTGGCTATGTAAGTCATTTAAACCTCTACATACCGGTGCCTGTAAATCAGGTACTTAGATATCTAAATGACCTAAACTGCATCCATGTTTATTTATAGATGGAATAAGAGAGGCCTGCTTACAACTGGGCTAAAATTCTGGTCCAAAATGTAGGTGTATGTAATGATACATACACACACACACACACCCCAGAACTAACTGGAAGTGTCCCCCATTACAGCCATGAATTGCTGTGAGAGTATACGATATAAGCGCACACACTAAAATGCACCATTCAGTTGCATTGTTTCCTGCTACATACCATCCATCCCATTTCTTGGATTTGTACCTTGTCTGTTTAGACTGCAAGCCCTCTGGGGCAGGTTCTTGTCTCCCTACAGGTCTGTAAAGTGCTTATCGTGTTGGCGCTATATAAATATCGCTGCATACAACCACCATTCGAAATGAGGGGTGAAGTTAGATGCCTCTGCAAAAAACATGGTGGGCTGCAAGTGAGCTAAGCAAGTGATGTGCATACGTGAGCCGAATGGTTACCATTGTTCCAAAAGAGAAGACTGCTGAGATCCAAGAAGGTAGATGGCCGCAGTTTCCAGACTCCGTCACATGACAGTTTTTAGCCAATAATGAGCCAAGAATTGTCCTGGTCAGCATCTTAGGGCCACTTCAGTTGCTCAGTATGTCTTACTGACAACAGCTCCACATCAGTTACCGCAGCACAGAGCCTGAACAATTCTTTTCTATCCCAGCCCAGCACCTGGAATGCATAGTGCTACAAGAGTTGATAAACCATTCTATTATCCAGCTGATATGCTCTGAGCAGGAGATCCCATTTATCCCCCCTTTACACCCAAATACCAAAGTCATCGTCCAGGCACCTAAACACTGACAATGGTCTTACAGATCCCCTGGCAGCCTCAAGGATACCACTGTGTCTTACAAGCTAAATAAATATGGATTGCTTCACCCACCACAAAAAATGCAGCCTTCCCCGGAGATGAGACATAGTAACCATTTAAAAGTGCACAGCCATCCAACACAAATTTAGGGCAGGAGATGCAGAAGGGCCTAAATAAAACTGCAGGGGAATCTTAAGGAGTCAAAGTTTAGTTATCTGGCTGGAATTTGGCCAGAAGACCAGGGCTGACTATGTCCAAAATGCAGTGGAATTTCTGATGGCCACAGGTGCCCAGAATGTCAGTTTTGTCTCTCCTCTGAAAGATGGCACCAATAGCAGCCTAGCATCCCCTAACAGTGGGCTGGGGTGCCAGTTCAGTGCAGATCACAAGGAAATAGAGGACCACCTACTGAACGACCAAGGCTACTTCTCGCAGTGCCTGGGATATCTCTGGAGGCTTCCCATCCAGGTACTGACCCAACCCAGCTTACACCACCATAGTTAATATTTATAGAGCAGTAGCAATCTGATAAAGCCACAGCCCAAAGCAACATGGCTGCAGGACACAGACCGAAATTCATTGTTTATAAGCAAGCCTTCTCCACCCCTCCCAAACATCTCCTCATAGTCACTGGCTGCACAGGCAAGAGAACCCAGCCCTGCAGTTCTCACTCCTCCCCCCACCCCATTTCCTCAGGCATTGCAAGTACATCCCCGTCTGTTCATCTTCAGTCCAACAGGGGCCAAAGGTCTCAGATCTGCAGGGAATCTACACTAGGAGAAGAGGGCCAGTCACTTTAAGAAGCACACTGAGTTTACTGTTCATAAGTGCTCTAGTGAGGATTCCCCCATCACACACACACACACACACACACACAGTCTCTCCTGGGATGGGTAGGGCTCTTTATCTCCTTAGCCAAAGCCAGGTGTTGATGAGACATGCCGAGACTAGCACAGAGTAGACCAGAAGCTCCTTCTGACGCCAGCCAGTACATTGCTCCTCCAGAGTCCGCAGCCTCCCCGAGATCTTGTTCAACTGCAGAAAAAGCAGCCAGGTCAGTAACAAGTTATGCAGCAAATGAGGGTATAAAGGAAGCTGCCCCTAGCCTCTACCAGCAGGTGTCTCTGTAGGGTTGGTCCAACAGCACAGAGTGCACGGGTAGGAGCTCACAGCTACTCCAGATCTACCTCTCCCAGCAGGAGAGACTGTCCTGGTGTGGAAAGGGTTGTCATCTGGACCACACAAATACAGCAGGAAGCAAAATGTTAGGGTCCAGCAGAGCATCAGGGGCCATTTAGTGTCAGTGACTGGAGTCTGCCAGGGTCAAGCACTTTCCCAATTGCTTTAGGACAGTAAAATCCCTATTAGGGTGACCAGATGTCCCGATTTTATAGAGACAGTCCTGATTTTTGGGTCTTTTTCTTATATGGGCTTCTATTACCCCCACCCACTGTCCCAATTTTTCACACTTGCTGTCTGGTCACCCTAATCCCTACAGCCAGCTTTGAGAATAGGAGCACTGGTTGCAAGAGGAGTCCGCAGATACACTGCCCTTGAGGGTACCTCTGATAAGAGGAGAGGCTGGGATAAAAGAGCGCAAGCTGTGGAGGCGCCCACTACTGGTACTGGTGGTACCTGCTCTCATTATCCCTTAGGCAGCTTTCACAGAGTCCAGTTCCAAAATGTCTCCTCTCTTTCTCACCTGTTTCCTCATGGCTATAATGTCAGTCACGCTGATCTCCTCCAGGGAGCTTTCTGAGGCTGGCCCTGTGTCCTGGGAGCTAGGAAGAAGGAAAACAGAGAGATGCAAATGTGCAAACAGAGATCAAGAGAATGCAATCACATCAGCTCGTGTACACAGCCAGGAAGAGGTGAGGGAAGGGTTACCCATGCAAAAAGCACACCTGTTGAATGGGGAAATCAAAAACAGAGGAAAAAACACCAGATGTTATTGTGAAGATGTAGCATGTCTTTTTAACCACACCACAGCCACTTAAATCCTATCAACATGCAGCTCTCAGTTACCATCATTGTGAAATATACAGCGCATGCTGCAATGGGTAGTGTTATACAGCCATGTCTATATTGTTAGAAGCTCGACATATGGAGAGTAGAGAATGTGATATTTACCAATTGGCAGTTTGCTATACACACACAGTGATTAAAATGGCCCATGAACACACAAATCAGGGCCAAGGCCTCAGCTGGCATAAACTGGCATAGCTCCACTGAATTCTATGGATCTGTGCTGGTGTAAATCAGAAGATCTGGTCCATAATGTATAAATCTGCTATTTTTTCCCATTAAAAAAAAATCAAAGGGTGACTATCTGCCCCAGTGCATGAGCCATGGATCTCTGTTAAAAGGAGCATTCTCTAGTTACTTTGCATGATCCCCAGCAGGGTCACTTCACTAGGCAAAGGACCTTATTGCCTTCAGAAGAAATTCTACGTGAGACCTGAAAAAAAAAATAATCCATCCGTGTTCTGTCTGCTTCTTACACCACCAGTAGCAAAGATTTAGTTGGGGGATCACCAGTAGTAGCAGATTTAGTTGGGGATTGGTCCTGATTTGTGCAGGGGGTTGGACTAGATGACCTCCTGAGGTCCCTTCCAACCCTGATATTCTATGATCCTATGAATGTGAGACACAGAAAGAACTCCAGCTCGTTCTCCTATAGCTGCATTGATTCTGCAGGGCTACTGGGAGTAACAGCTTTGTCTCAGGAAAGTCAGCGGACAGGACTAGAGGGGACAGGCTGGGTAAAAGGGAGCTGCCATTTTCAGAGTCAACTTTTCTAACACAGTGCTCCAAACATTTCATTGTAATTGTAAAACCAGATTCTCAGCTGGTATGAATGGATGTCATTCCACTGACTTCAATGCTCCCATTTACCTGGTCTGAGGGGCTTTGGCCCAAAATGTGGATTATGTTTGATAGCATATAAAACAGACAGGATATCTCTGTGGATTTGAATTAGTTCGCAAAGTTTGTCCTGGGGAAAACACCACAATCCAAGACAGTATGAAGAGGTTTAAGGAAATGGATGCTGATCAATATTAGATCTTCATATAAAACTCTATAATACGACATAAGTAAAAAAAAAAAAAAAAAAAAAAAATTGTGATGCAGCAGTGTTGATGTCTCCAGACATAAAATATTAACAACTGAAACAACCCACAATTTTTCATTGGGAAAAAAAAAAATCATGCCAGGTCCAGGTAGTGCCCATTATGGTATAGACTGAAAATTACCTTTAATTCTAACCCCCTTTTTCCAGTGACGCAACTTTCAAGAATGGTAAATCTGCTGCTAGATGACAAAGGTTTGTTTCTGGTTATGAACAATGGAGCAAAATCAGTTGTAATTTTTTATTATGTGTGAACATAAACTTTTCACCTATCAGAAATGGTGCATTTGGATAAGAGAAAAAAAGAGGGAAAAAAAAAACCAAAACTCAGTTTCAAACTAGGCTGGTTTTGTAGAGAAAACAGACTTCCAAAAACAAGCCAGGTTTGAAGAACGTTATTCACACATTTAAAGCTGCTTGACTGTCACTTTGTGTCTACACAATATAACTTCTGTTTCCCTCGTCTTTCCTCAAAATCATTTGATTACGGAGGTCCTAGCCTGCTGACAACACAGATGATGTGCAAATTCCAGGGGCTGCATAGCTCAGCATAACAGAATCCTGAAAGAGAATTGAAGGATGACTGAGTTATAGCCACTGGTGTTGGGAGCCTAAAAAACTTATAAACTCTGCAGAGAAGAGAGCTGCTGGATCAGAAACCCATGTCAGAGGCTCAAGATCAGAGCTATTTGGCAGCAGATTCCATGGATTTTCAGTCCCTTTCCCGTGCCGAACCCATTTGATAAAATCAATTAGGCAGCGTAAATGCAGAACCCTAGCACTCGTGTAACATTAAGGTAACAGCTGGAGTCACGTGCATGTCACGGGAGACCTTAGATAATTTGGGACAGTCAAGGGAATTATTGATGTTAGCAGAGGCAGGTGGCCAAAAGCCTGGCTCAGAGAGTTTCAGATAGTCCAGGCCAGGGGTTCTCAAACTGGGGGTCAGGACCCCTCAGGGGGTCACGAGGTGATTACATGGGGGGTTGTGAGCGGTCAGCCTCCACCCAAAACCCCGCTTTGCCTCCTGCATTTATAACGGTGTTAAATATATTTAAGAGTGTCTTTAATGTATGGGGGGGGGCGTCGCACTCAAAGGCTGGTCCAGGCTGACTGCACAGGTAGTTAAATAAATAAATTATAAATAAATTAATGGAGATATCCTATCTCCTAGAACTGGAAGGGACCTTGAAAGGTCATCAAGTCCAGCCCCCTGCCTTCACTAGCAGGACCAAGTACTGATTTTTGCCCCAGATCCCTAAGTGGCCCCCTCAAGGATTGAACTCACAACCCTGGGTTTAGCAGGCCAATGCTCAAACCACTGAGCTAGCCCTCCCCCCCACATCATAGTTTCCCCTCACCCCAACATCATAGGCTAGCAATTTGGGGTGTAAAGCAGCAAAGAGCATGAAAGGCCCCAAGAGAATATTCTGAACAGTTCTTCTCCTGCTGTGCTGCACGCTATGGGTTAAAAAGTGCACACCCGCTTCATGCCATGTTATGTCTTTGAGGAAAGCGACAGCGCCTACACAGAGTTGTGCGGATACAGGCCTGAAGCAAGCCAGACAGAGTCACCTGGGCTGGGCTCGGTCTCGGGCAGACTTGTTAACACGGTGGAAGAGTAGGTGACCCAGGAAGTACACCATCTGGAAAATGTTCTGCGGGGAGTAGATCCTGGCATCCTGGGGGAATGGGGGGCTGGGTAGTGGGCTTATGCCTGGCCTGCAGGGCATATACAGAATCATTCTGGTTATTCCCTTCTGTGCTGCATTTCCCCTCCCTATACACCGGTGTGCCAGGGGACCCAGGATTGGGTTGTTCTCAGTATCCTTATGGTGGCACCAAGGATTACAGTGGAACGTAGTTAGCAAGGGAACCATCTCACTTACACCCAGGCATCATGGAATGGACACTTAATCTCAGACCCATTAGCAATTATCTTCAAGAACTCATGGAAGATAGGTGAGGTCCCAGAGGGCTGGAGAAGGGCAAACATAGTACTCATCTGTTTTTTAAACGGGGAACAAAGCGGACCCAGGAAATTATAGACCAATCAGCCTAACTTCGATACTTGGAAAGATACTGAACCAAATTATTAAACAATCAGTTTGTAAGCACCTAGAAGACAATAGGGTAATAAGTAATGACGAACATGGATTTGTCAAGAACAAATGCCAGACCAACCTAATTTCCTTCTTTGATGGGGTTACTGCCCTAGTGGACGGGGGCGGGGGAGGAAGAGGGGGAGGAGAAAGAGAGAAGCAGTAGATGTGATATATCTTGATTTTACAAAGGCTTTTGACAGTCCCACATGACTTTCTCATAAGCAAACTAGCAAGATGTGGTCTAGGTGAAACTAATATAAAAGTGGATGCTCAACTGGTTGAAAGACCATACTCAAAGAGTAGCTATCAATGGTTTGCTGTCAAACTGGAAGTGTGTATCTAGTGGGGTCCATCAGGGGTCTGTCTGTGGGTCTGGCACTATTTAATATTTCATTAATTACTTGGATAATGAAGTGAAGAATATGCTTATAAAAATCTGCAGATAACACCATGCTGTGAGGGATTGCAAGCACTTTGGAGGACAGGATTAGAATTCAAAATGCCCTGGACAAATTGGACAATTGGTCTGAATTCAACAAGATGAAATTCAATAGAGACAAGTGCAAAGTACTGCACTTGTGCATTTTATTTTTTCTTTCCCACCAACAAAATGGGGAATAACTTGCTAGGCAGTATTACTGCTGAAAAGGATCTAGAGGCAGTATTCAATCAGTGATTCACTATGAGCCAAGAATGTGATGCAGCTGCAAAAAAGCCTAATACGATGCTGGGGGGTATTAACAGAAGTATCCTATGTGAGACCAGCAAAGCAATTATCCCATGCTACTCGGCCCTGAGGCCTCAGCTGGAGTATCGTGGCCAGTTTTAGGCACCATGTTTTCAGAAAGATATGGGCAAACTGGAGAGAGAGTCCAGAGGAGAGCAACAACAACAAAATAATAATCATCAAAGGTTTAGAAAACCTGACCAATGAGGAAAGGTTAAAATAACTGGGCATGTTTAATTTTGAGACTAGAAGGCTGAGGGGAGACCTGCTAACACTCTTCAAATATGTTAAGGGCTGTTATACAGAGGACAAAGAGTCCTGTGGCACCTTATAGACTAACAGACATATTGAGGCATAAGCTTTCGTGGGTGTACATGCATCTGACGAAGTGGGTATTCACCCACAAAAGCTTATGCTCCAATACATCTGTTAGTCTATAAGGTGCCACAGGACTCTGTCGCTTTTTACAGATCCAGACTAACACGGTTACCCCTCTTATACCTAAAGAGGACAGTGATCAATTGTTCTCCATGGTCCACTGAAGATAGGACAAGAAGTAATCAGCAAGGGAGATTTAGATTAGATATTAGGAAAAAACTTTCTAAGTCTAAGGATAGTTGAGTACTGAAATAGGTAACCAAGGGAGGCTATGGAACCCCCATCATTGGAGGTTTGTAAGAACAGGTTAGACAAACCTGTCAGAGATGGTCTAGGTCTAGATATACTTGGTCTGGTCTTGGAGCGGGGGGGATGGATTAAATTATCTTTCAAGCTCTTTGTTGCTATCATTCTATGATAGTTATACTCAACCAGGATCACCAGCTCAGAGACTATAGATTGGTGACCCATCTGTGTATACCACACTCACCACGGTGGTATCTGACTATTAGCTTCTGTGAATGATGTCACAGAAAGTCAGCCTTCATAGCATTAGCAAAAGGGGAAGGATGATTGTGGTTCCAGGGGTCAGTGGGCCTGAGTTCTATCCTTGGCTCTAATACGGATGTGCTAGTGTAACACTGGGGCAACCGCTCAGTAAAACAGAGATGACACCTAGCTCAGGAAGGTGTTCAGAGTCTTAACATATTGCTGGTGAAGGGTTCCAGCCTTCTCAGATGGACGGTGTGAGAGAAGGCCAGCGCGTTGTTAAAGATCAATGAGGGAGATCAGCATGGCTATGAGAAACACTGCCTGTCCAGCCTGAGCTGGTTAAGGCTGACCAGGCACCAGCCACATCTTTCAGCATGATAGTCAGGCCAAGTGCTGACAAGGCCTTGAGCCCTCAGTGAGCCGAGAGCACCTCATACGGAGGATCACACATGAGAGGATGGATCATCTGATGCTGGGACATCATTTAATAAGAGCATTTCACTAGAACTTGCCAACATGGGCTTGGTCCCTTCCTTCCATGCCACTGCCTGTCAATACCCTTAGATTGATGGGGATCATGCCTCCCATAGTGTGTGAGTGCTGCCGGGCTGATGGACCATCTGAACACAGTAGAGGCTGAATGCTCAGCGTGTGAATTAGCCCCTGGCAGTTCTCACCGGTCAGGCTTCCGGCTCATGCTACGCAAGGCGATCTCGGGGGTCTCGCTCGGAGTTCTCTCCTTCCGCAGTCTGCCATGGTGGGTCTGTTAGAATGCATACACAAAACAAGAGGATTAGTACTGACACTCTGCGAGTTATTCTCCTCGTTCAACTCTTCAATGATCCCACTGCATCCCCTATGCTCTGCCATCGTCAGCCAGGGGCAGGAGGCAGCAGAGGGCAACAATCCCAGTAATTCAATAGAATTGCTACAGCTCTATTGCAGCCCCACCATGGCACTGCAGTTTCACAGTAGCTAAGTGAGTTTTAATATGGTAAACGAATGTGCTTTCACAACTATATGGGCCTGATCCCATGGTCTTTACTCCAGTAAAAACCCACTGGCATCAATGGGAGTTTTGCCTTGAGTAAGGACCATGGCAACAATTTCAAATTCATACTCTGCCACTGGGGTAGCATAATAATAACCTATTTATGCAACAGCCTCCCAGCCTACACAGTAGTTATCTTAGCCCGCTTCTTATCCAGTGCAACACAGAATACATTATGTCATAATTATACAGTCATTCAGGCCATAAAGGTATTAATGTGACATATTTTGTTTAGATCCCGGAACAGCATATGCCAGAACGCATCTCCACACCAGCCTTGCCCATGATCAGCCTTGCTCCACGAGAATACAGAATAAGGACTCCGTCTCGATGCAAACATCATATTCAAATGAAACCCCTTATTGAAGCTGAAAGAATTTGTATACGACCTCGTTTGAAGTTTGTTTATTCTCTTGCATTTCATTTGGCTCAGACAGCAAGGCTAGACTGACCTGTTTATGCCTTGGTTTGATCACAGACTAGCCTCCTGCCACAGCATATGGAGGCGGCTTAAAATATACCATTGGGAGGGGGGGAGAAACAGATGGAGTTTTGCCATTCCATAGGAGAAGAAGGCCCAGTGATCCAACCTTTCTTGGAAATATTCCCGCTACCATCAGGTTGTATAAAACAACCTTGACCTTGGGCCTGAAGTGCATACGTGACCATCCCACACAATGTCGTCCCTTCCCAGTAGCAGCATTCCCTTATCACCCACAGTAGAGCTGCATGAAATTTGATAGCTTCCTTTCACAGCCAGTTGTGAAAGCATTTCCCTTGGTTTCAGTTCACAGCCAGGGCCTGACTGGAGCCAGAAAAGTTGGAACTGGCATTTAGATCAATGAGCGAGCTCTGAAGAGAAAGAAATTAAGCTCTACAAATCCTAGCACTCCTGTAGCACTCCAATGGGTGAAGGCACCTTAGAGAAGGCCTGGTTGGATGGTCTGGATGACTAAAGACGCAAGTCTCTATCTGTAAGCATTGGAGAACCAGAGACAGCTTCTTTCTTCTAGATTAGTTTTGCATTAGAGTAAGATTTGTCTCTGGATTATCAGATACTGGATTTTTTTAAATAATGTTTTGATCCCAAGTACTGACAAAACTAAACTTCTTTTCCTGTTTGACACAGTAGGAGGGTTGAAAAGGGATCCCACAGCCCAGTTGGCCTATATTTGGGACACACCCAGTGCTTAATTTGTGCCAGGGCTGAGACCCAGCACCACTAGGCTTGGCAGTTCGTAGCCCCGGCACCTCTAGGCTTGCTGCATCAGTTATGACGGTTTAAAAAAAAAAAAAAAAAAAAATTGCTTGAGCCCCGACACCTCTTTCATTACAAATTAAGCACTGGACACACCACATGAAACAAAGTGGCACCAGAACGCATTCTGCCCAGAGGAGATAACAGCAGTGGACATTAGTGGTGGGACAAAATGAATTCAGAGAGAACCCCTCCAACGATCTCTTGCTCTGGACAGAGCCAGAGTTCATAGGAGTCAACTACAACATAAGTCACCCTATCAATCTATTCTGCAGAGGTGGGAGCTCTCCTTTTACACGTTGTCGGTCTTGTCACTTAAATCAGGACTTCATCACAGGTACGGGGCACTAGCAGGTGAGCTATGGGACGCAGAAGGAAGAGGACACTGGGGACATTTCACTATCCCAGGAATTTTTCTCTTGGAGACTGCCTTGTTATGGGTGCCCACATCTGTTCTAGATACAGTACCGATCGCTTGCGTTTCTGGGTGCCTGATTGGGCCGTGGTGTCCAGAAACAGGAGCTCCCCAAATCCTGCGGGCTGGGTAGAGGGGTCCTGAAGCGTATGCACAACAATAGAGGGGTGCTGCCTTAGCTGGTCCAACAGGAGAGGCCTTCGATTATCATCCATCATCTCTACAGAGAAGAAAGAGAGGGCAGTTAGAAACATTTGCATACGCCCCAGAACATAACAGCATCGTGTTCAGACTTGGGGCGGGGGGGGGAGAAGAAGAGGGGGAGTGATGTCCAAATCCCTGGGAGAAGCAACTCTGTTTCTATGGCTACCAATAGAGTACACCAACACAACAAAAACCACCACCGCACCCCCCTGCAGCTTTGACAGTCATTGTCTGCAGTCTTTATCCAGTGCCTGTTCCAGGTTGTCCCATAGAAATCCATTTCAGGATTTCCTCCCCACCTCCCTCCAGTAATCACTGGAGCACTCTCTGCTTAGCTGAAAGAGGGGCAGGTGTCATTAACAGGCACTACTCACCCACAAGCACATGGAAATCCCATGCCGGAATTCTTACACCCACATGGCCCGGAATCTGAATGGAGAGCAGTGACAAAACTCCTCTGACTAAGACATTCACTGCTTCAGGCAAAGTCTAACCATGCCCCTACTTGTTTTCATGGGTCTTAGAGGCTCTTGGGCACTGATGGCAGCAGTTTGAACATGCTGACTCATAGCCAATCTCCCCAAAAGCCAGCCCCCAGAGAAATAATCAGAGTTTTAGCTCCAAGTGTCTAAAACAAGCATTCCTCGGACACACACCACCAGCTGTGCAGAGGATAAGCCAGCCTTCCTCTCAAGGCACAGAGAAGGAAAGTCACTTACTATACAGCTCCAAAGCTGCTAGTACACTGCGGTTCGGGAGTTAGTGTTCAAAGAGTAGGGGCCCTGGGTCCTTGTTTACCTGGCATCCCAAGGAGGAGACTCTACTAAGAGGTGGAGAGGGAGAAGATATGGATAATGCGGGTCGTAGCTCCGCCTCCGCCAAGCAGGGACTCAAGGATATTAGCCAGCTTGAGTGGCACCAAGAGGATCTTAGAACTTTCCCTCCACCACCCTAGCCGTCTCTGATGAGTGCATGCACGCTCACTAACTACTTCAAGCCCTCTGCCCCCGAGGCTGCACACTCAGAGCAATTCTGGATCCCAAACGTTTTTGCTCCCACATCCACAAACCTGCCTGTCACCACCTCCACAGGCACTGCCAGAACCCAGCCTCACCCTGAGCCTGCTTTAACCCTCATTCAGGTCTCCTGCACTTCCTCTTAGGCTGAGTCAGTCTCTCTTGGGTCCTTGCTGTCTAGGGCCCAGAATGCAGCAGCAGGACTACTCTGTTGCCCTAGAAAGCTACATTAGTCCTGCCTCGATCACCGTCTCTAGCTTCCAGACCTAATCCACAATTTCCCACATGGCTTTCAAAGTTCTCCATGGACTCATGCTGCTCCAGCTAAACCTCCATAGTGCACAGCTACCTTCTCCTGCCTCTTCACGCTGCATCTTCTCTCCACACTTGGGCTCCAGAGAGATGAGAGGTTACACTTTCCATTTCCCCCCTGCCATTGGGCCCTTTGGCACCTTTACTAGTGTGTGATGAACATCACTTCCCACTCGCTTTCCCCATCATTCTAACACTCCTCCTCACACCTCCCTCATGCTACAGGAAGACACGGAGATCTTTTGCCTCACACAGCAGCAGCCGATGCAATTCTCAGAAACAAACCCTCTGTCCCCACTCAGGGCAAAGCGTGTCAGGATCAGCCAATGGGGGATGCTACACAGAGTCCATTGCATACTATGCTCTGTGCTAGTCCATGTCCAATCAAAGCCGGCCCATTCCATCACCTGCCAGCGACAGCCTATCAGGGATGTGCATCCGGAAGGAAGGGCGAAGCTCCTCAGCTTTTCTCTCCTCATCCAGTGGGTTGGACTCATCCGCCATCTTCAGCCTGTTGGGCACCTGCATGCGCTGATTGATGGCCTCCATGAAGCTCAGGTCACATGGGGCTCGGTTCACCTCCAGGCCCCGAAATGGCCACATTGTCATTTCATTCCCAGCCTCACTTTGGCAGCCTGGAGGTCACAATAAAAAAAAAAAGCCAGCACGGCACTGAAAGAAAGCTATCAACACCAAACACACTCTCACATCCTGCAATGGTGGGCACAATTTAAGATGCAAATGTAAGAATAATCCCTAACTCTCATACAGTGAGTTTTATTGGCAGACCTCAAAGCATTTTACAAGGGCGCCCATCTGTGAAATGGGGATGATACTGGGTAAACTGAGGCACAGAGCAATGCAGTGAGTTGCCCAAGGTCACCCAGCAGGCTAATGGCAGAGGTAATCAATATAAAAAAAAATGGATGCTATGTTTTAAAAGCCAAGCAACGGCACACCTTAAGAATTAGCTGGTGGGAGGAGACAAAAAGATTCTGATAGTGATTAAAAATGGAAAATTCCTGTAGGAGGGGAAAAGCATGTTCTCTCTCACATCTACATTCAGCAATAAGGAAATGAGCAAAAAAGAAGTAAAGTGTCCATAGGAAAGAGCACAGTATACATGGTACAGCCAGGCAAAATTTTTCCACCAGAACTGTCTGAGGGAAAACTGGGTTTTCAATTCAATTCATAAATTTTTCATGAAGAGTGTTCTGTCCACACTGAAAATTTCAAGTTTTTGTCAAAAGCCATTAATTTTCTTTCAGGGAAAAAGCTGGAAATTTCCCCTGGGAAATTTCAACAAAAATGAATTCCCCGCTGCCATTTTCAGAGCAATTTTCTGCAATAGAGCTGCTCAGAAAACAAGCCTTTGTGTGCCTTTAAGAAGAAAACAGTCACAGTCTCTTAGAAACATAGAAGATTAGGGTTGGAAGAGACGTCAGGAGGTCATCTAGTCCAACCCCTGCTCCAAGCAGGACCAACCCCAACTAAACCATCCCAGCCAGGGCTTGGTCAAGCCAGGCCTTGAAAACCTCCAAGGATGGAGATTCCACCACCTCCCCTAGGTAACCCATTCCAGGGCTTCACCACCCTCCTAGTGAAATAGCATTTCCCCAATATCCAGCCTAGACCTCCCCCACTGCAACTTGAGACCATTACTCCTTGTTCTGTCATCTGCCACCACTGAGAACAGCCGAGCTCCATCCTCTTTGGAACCCCCCCTTCAGGTAGTTGAAGGCTGCTATTAAATCCCCCCTCACTCTTCTCTTCTGCAGACTAAACAAGCCAAGTTCCCTCAGCCTCTCCTCCTAAATCAAGAGGAGGCGCTTTTCAAAACTTAAAGATACAGTACACAGCAAACATAGGTGTAGCAGTTTTACTGTTTAAAAAGCTACGAGAGATGAGCAAGGCAGCATTTCTCAAACTGTAGGTCAGGACTCCAAAGTCGATCATGACCCTGTTTTAATGGGGTTGCCAGGGCTGGTGTTAGACTCCCTGGGGCCCGGGGCCAAAGCCCAAGCCCCACCGCCGGGACCAAAGCCTGAGCTCAGGTTACAGGCCCCCTGCCTGGGGTTGAAGCCCTTAGGCTTCAGCTTTGGCCCCCCTGCCCAGGGCAGCAGGGCTCTGGCTTCGGTCCCCACCTCCTGGGGTCATGTAGTAATTTTTGTCGTTGGAAGGGGGTTGCGGTGCAATGAAGTTTGAGAACCCCTGAGCTAGAGGGAAGGCTTTGGTGGGTGGGAATGTAAATTTCACGTGTTCCAAGGCACCCAGACAAAAGCACAATCCCCTATGGAGATCGAAGGTGTGTAACAGTGAACTTCTTAACAGATGGGTTGCGTCTGAGCCAAGATGCTTGTTAGGACAAATGTCAAGGAGATGATCCCAAAAGTAGCCAGGAACTACACCCAGGGCTTTGACACAGGTGGCCCTACTGGTTTTCAATCTCTCACTCAGTAGGCACCCAGTGTGCCTAGAAAGCACAGGAGAGCAGCTACTAGTCAACAGAACTCAAGCAACGTCCAGACCGGTGTTACGCCACATGGTTATCCTGTTAGGATAGTTCTGTCCCTTCACAAAGTCTCCATGGCAGGCTGGCCCACAGGCCTCTGCCACTGAACACAATGTGACAGGGACTTCGCACCACTCTGCAGCCAGCCGCTGGTTGAAGAGCAGCACCCAACGTGACAAGAGGATCTGGTCTAGACGTGGGGAAGGGGCAAGTGCTGGGGTAAGTGGGGAAAACCCCAGGGATCCAGGAGGTGCATGCAGGGTCTGGCTTGGGTGGTTGGAACATTGTAAATGTACATGGAGCTTTACTAGCGTGTCTGTACAGTGCCTTGCACGATGGGGTGATGAACCTGGGTAGTCCCTAGGCATGTCTGTGACAAATATGCTTAATGAACAACAATGGGGGAGGGGAGGGAAATCTATGGGCCCAAGGGTAACAAAAAAAATATGAAAGGCAGGAGGGGAGCAGTTCTGGTAATGGAGAGTTTGGAGACCAACCCAGGAAGGATTCAAGGAGCTTATTTCTCCAGCCAAGAGAGTTTTACTGTGGATTTATTTTAAACAGCGCAATTCCTTTTCCCTAGAGAAAATGAATATCATCAGATGGGCACCGGGTCTAGCCACAGCCCCCCAGCAGCTGCTCTTTTGAAGCTAGAAACCTCGCAGAACAAAGCCACACTGGCTGGGCGCAGCAGTAAGTCAGGTAGAGAGAGGTGCTCTCCATGGGGCTGCAAGACGGTGAGACTAAATGCTGGGGAGAAAAGCAACCGCGTACCAGTCCCAGCTCTGCCGCTGACTCACTGAGTGACCTTGGATAAGTCACAGCCTCCCCACACCTCCATTCCCCAGTTTGCACTAGGGAGAGAATGCCAAATTCATTCATGTTTGTGGTGCTTCCCCTCCACGCCGTGGTGGGAGTGGAGGGGAAGCACAAAGCTGATTTGTGCTCCCCAGCTCACACTGCCACAGGGGATGCAGCATAGCTAAGCGGATAGAGCACTGGGTTGGGACTCAGGAGAACTGGGATCTATTCCCAGCTGCCTAAGAGGCCTTCAGCAAGTCACGCCCCCTCTCTGTGCCTCAGTTTCCCCTCTGTAATATGGGGATGAGGACACTGCCCCTCCTCCCCCTTTGTAAAGCTCTTTGGATGTAAAGCACTGTATAAGAGCCAGGTGTCAGAGAAGGCGTTGATGGCCAAGGAGGATTTTAGCAGGGAAGAAAACATGCAGCACGGCTTGTCCCAAAAGCCTCCTCCAGTTTGTTCTCTTTATAGGTGCGGCAGCAGCAAGGAGAGGGAAAAACTGAGAAGCAGGCCAGCACGGAGGCTATTTCCATAGAGGGAAGGAGGGAAAGAGGAGACAGAAGAGATGGAGAATCCAATCAGAGTCACATCTCAGACCGATCCCTCTTCTCAGCCATCCCGGCTACCTCCCACTTCACACCTCCAACCATGCACCCCCGCCACACACCCTGTCTCCTGCTAGATCAGGGATTTCCATAACAAAGGCTGCGGTTCCCCAGGGAGCCAAGCAGGGGCACCATGCGGCTCAGAACCTCAGAGAGGAGAATGACCACTCAAAGGATGGCAAGAGGAGCTGAGGCACCAAAAGGGAGAGGAGGAAGCGTTGGGAACACAAGTGAGTGCACTGGGGCCCAACCTTGTTACGCCCCAGGTCTATTTTTAGTAGAACTACCTTGATTTTCTGCCCAGTCACCCACCCGCTTGCCTTCTGAATCCACCACGGTGCCGAAGCATTCGGCTCTGTGTGCATCTCCGACCCCACAAGCTCCTCCCCTGACACCGGCAGAGGTGTCAGGGCAATGGATGGCACTGCGCCACCCTGCAGAGATGGCAGCTTCTCCTTGTGAAATCCCTGCTTCCTACAGACAGTCCCCACCAATCCCTTCGCCCTCACAGTCTGGACAGACAGCCCCCAAAACTAACATGAAGGCAGCACAATCAGAGAGGCCAGAGGCTTGGCTCAGCAGATGTTCCTGGGGGTTTGGTGGGCCCAAGGCTGGCCTCAGACAGGAGGGAAGCATGGTCCCCTCTGGCTGAGTAAAAGGGCTCTGCTTTAAAAAGGTGTCTAGTGGGTCATTAAATCTAACTGGAAAATATAATCAGCCAGGCAGTTGCTCTCGACAGCCTGCTGCTGCATAGGGTAAAAGGGCCAGATCCTGGCCCATACACCCAGTGCCTTTGTGCCACTCGGATGGTCCAAAGAGCACAGGGTTGTTGGGGATTGCCCCAATCTCGGGGGAATCCCAGGGTGCTGTAAAGCCCTGGTAGCCAGTTCTATGCACCCCATTCCTTTGCAAACCTAGGGTGCACCCTGGGTGGGCTGGGATAGTGTGAAGCCAGAGTACGATGCGCTGCAGCCATCCTCAGCTGGCGGAGGAGACTAAATGGCTTCATGCAGAGCAGCCCTCATGCTTCTCAAAGTCATACCGGCAGCTGATTCATCCCCCAGGTGGGCTGAGGATCAACAGAGCCAACAGGGACTTTAGAGCCACTCCCCACCCTGACCCTCACTCAAGGTTCTACACTGAGCACAGCTCGACCAGGCCCAGAGATCTGGCCCAAAGAATCTACTGCAGGAGACTTTCAAAGCTATCAGAGGGCAAGTTTTTATTATTTGCACTATGGTTGCAACTGGAGCCCCCCCCCCCCCAATCAAGAATCAGGGACCCTTTACGCTAGGTGCTGTACAAATAGTATAACAAGCAATCCCTGCCCCAGAGCTCACAACCAGGCTTATGAGAAAGCACAGCAGGTGACAGAAAGAGGAGCGGGTGAGGTGGAAGGACCAGGTGACTGTGAAGCAAGCCCTCTTTCCATCATGTTCAGCAGTCTCCCTTTACCACCTGCCTCAGTCAGTCTGTTCTTTCTTCATTAAATCAAGTCAAATCTTTACTTAAAAAAATAGAAACTTATCTGACATCAACTGGGACAATCTCCTGCTTTCAAGTGGATGCTCAAGGGAGCTGCGTCCCCTCAGGTCTGTTCCATAGTGTCAAAGCGGAGGCTTCTGCTGACAAGCATCAATACAATGGCATCCTCCACTGAGCTGTTCCTTGGAGCCCCATTATAAGAACAAGGGAACATAAGAATGGCCATATGGGTCAGACCAATGATCCATCTAGCCCAGTATCCTGTCTTCCGACAGCGGCCAATGCCAGGTGGCCCAGAGTGATCCATCCCCTGTCATCCAGTCCCAGCTTCTGGTAGTCAGAGGCTAGGGACACCCAGAGCCTGGGATGACGTCCCTGACCATCTTGGCTAATAGTCATTGATGGCCCTATCCTCCATGAACTGACCCAATTCTTTTTAAAACCCAGTTATACTTTTGGCCTTCACAGCATCCCCTGGTAACAAGTTCCACAGGTTGGCTGTGTGTTGGGTGAAGAAATACTTCCTTATGTTTGTTTTAAACCTGCTGCCTATTAGTGTCATTGGGTGACCCCTGGTTCTTGTGTTACATGAAGGGGTAAATAACACTTCCTTATTTACTCTCTTCACCCCGGTCACATTTTTATAGACTATCATATCTCCCCACCCCCCAGTCATCTCTTTTCCAAGCTGAGAAGTCCCAATCCTTTTAATCTCTCCCTGTGGAAGCTGTTCCTAATAAGCCTAATCATTTTTGTTGACCTTCTCTGTACCTTTTCCAATTCTAATATCTTTTTGGAGACGGGACGACCAGATCTGCACACAGAGTGGGCGTACCATGGATTTACATAGTGGCATCAGGGCACTTCAGAAAAGCAATACAGCTGCTGCTTAACTTTATGCATATGATTAAGTCCATTCATAGATTGTTATGCAGGAGGTCAGAATAGAGGATGATAAGTGGTCCTTTTTGGCCTAACAAAGACCAAGAGAGAGTCACTGTACCAAAGACCTTACAATATAAAGATATTACGCAAGGTGTGGGGGGGAGAAACTGAGGCATGGTGAGGGGAAGTGACATGCCCAGGATAATCCAGCAAACCAGTGGCAGAGACAGGAATAGAAGCCACATCTTCTGAGTCCCAATCCACTAGACCAGTTTTTATCTGCTGTGTTGAATCGGGGCCTGAATGCAGCTGCTAAAGCAGTGACAGGCACTTCTAAAAATCTGTTACAAGCTATAACAGCACATACCCCACACTGCTATCCCCTAATGGCCTGCAGAGCACATCCTTAAGCTAGCTCTGTCCTCTCATCTATCCCAGCCCCCAAAATCCTGAAAAAAAATAGAGGTCTCTTGCAGCGAGCCTTGGAGATCAATAGATTTAGGCCCTTGTAGACCAAGAGACTAAGTAAATGCCAGAGTCACAGAGAGACCCTTTCTCTAGACCCCTAGCTCACTGATCACAACTGTAGTGTATGCCATCTATGGTATTTTCCTTCAGGTTTTCGCTGTGTTATAAAGCAATGTGGGTAGTTAGAAAACCGACATTAAAATAAAGCCATGCTGGATTCATGCACAGTGGAAGATCTGTTCATTTTCTAATCACCAATGGAAATATCACAGCTTTCAAAGAGCTCAGGGACCAGAGGGGAATGAGGACGTAGGCCCCAAGGAGAGTCAAACTATTAAGACTCAAAATTTAGCTGTCAGAATACATGAGAATGAAGCACTCAAGCAGATGGATTTCCTGCTTTAAAAACTTTCTTCAGGGCTTTTCTTGCAGCCACAGAGCAATCCCATCACATCAGCAGAACAGGAGTGGCTTTCGGGCGGATTCTCTACATTTTAAGCATCAAAAGTCAGAGAGAGTTTCTGACTCAGACAACCCTTCCTGAGGGGGGCACTCAGGAGCCCTTTGTCTGGAGAGAACCACCTGCCCCTATTGCATGAAAAACTTCGCCAGGTAATGTGACCCCACAAGTGCTGGATGGGGGTTTAAATGGGCTGTGCGTTAAAGACCCTGTGGAATATCTGCCCTTCTCCTCTGAAGACATAAGGTCTAATCCTGTTCAAATCACACATGGAAGTGACTTCGTTGGCCTCAACTTTGTCCTTAGCAGATGGGCATCAATCTTACTGTAAAGAAAGGACCAGAACACTGAGGCAACATCCATTGCTGGAATGCAGGATGCTGCAGGGCAAGGGCAAAGGGGCACTAGCAGAGCTGTGTGGAGAGCCCAGGGATGAACGAGAGGTGCTGGAGGTTTGGGACTGAGATGGATAGGCAGAGCGAGTGGGTGGGCAGGACTGGCATGGCAGGGAGGGCTAAGGTGCATGAATGGAGCTGAGAGTGCCTAGCAGGGGGACGGCAGGAGGCACTGACCTCAGATTTAGGCTAGAGGTGCATTGGCAGAGCTGGAGGACAGGAGGCACTGAGGGGTATTTCAGATTCCGACACCAAGCTTTGACCCAAACACTAACCTTTCTAGGCACTGGCAAGGGGACAGTGCATTGCTAACGAATCCATTCTTTGGATCAGATGTTAAATCAAGCTCACTTCGGGCTCCCTGTACTAGGAAGATGTCATGTGCGTGACACAGAGTAAAGAATGACCAGGGTTTTGTGCTCAGTCTCATTAAACCCCCATGAACTGTGGCAGTTGGGTAGGAGCTATTATTGATTGCTTAACAGGCCACATTCTGAGCCCGCGGGGGTAGAAGTAACTCTTCTGACATCTGCCTACACCAGACTGGAATTTGATCCAGTGACTGCTATGTTTGCCTGCACAGTCACTGCATTCCCACAGGTAACCCGTCCCTGCAGAAAGCACTCCAGGACACCTCAAGTAGCAGAGATGCTATTGGAAACAAATGCATTGTCCTGCTTAAGGTATCAAGCTCTGCCCTTGGTGCCAAAGGCTTCTGGGAGCAGCCTGGCTTGCAGCATGGCATCGGGCCAAGGAAGGAAAGGCAGGTGGTCTCTCTGTGCAAGGAGGTGATCAACACATACAGCAATAGCAGGGGAAGCAGAGTAGAGAATGAGGGGACAAGAGGGGACCTTGTAATATCACAAACAGCAAGAGCTAAGCTCCAGCCATGAGGAACAGGAGAGCTGGCTTTGCCCTGTTTGAAGAGTATGTGTTTAATTTTCCCTACAGAAAACAATACAGCCCCAGCTGGTAGGGAAACAGCCCAAGGTAAACTGCACCAGGCTTGTGCTGAAACCAAGAGGCAGAACTCCAGTCAGGAGAGAGATTTGTTTTCAGCTCACCTTAGGTAGCAGACAATCGCCCCTGCTCCATTCCCCCTCGTCCGTCCTGATCCTGTCCCTGGAACATAGGGCAGCCCTGTAAACACACTTCTCCCTGCAAGTCACAGACATACATACCTGCCTGGCGTAAAGTCAAGCAAGCTAAGCCAGGAGCCTGATGTCTTTGTCAGGCCGCGGCTGGGAAGAGGGAAAAGCTGGAATCGTTCACATAGTTAGCCCAGAGTGAATTGCTCTAGAAAGGAAACTAAAACTTTCCGACATTGTGCACCCTCTCTAAAGCCACAAACCCACCATCCCCCTTTGCTCTAGCCAGCTTTGTCCCCCTTTCAGCTCACTAGTTTCATGGTATTTTTGTGTTATTTCCAGTTTGTTAATGAAACTTACTAACCTGTAAACAACTTTTCTTCCGGCCCCTTGCAATCAGCTGGATGGTGATGTCAACCCCAGAATTCCTGATCCCTCCCATTTTGGCAGTATAGACTCCAGTAAAGCTGTGGGATTGGCTGAATGATTCAGCTATCCTTCATTCTTTTAAAGAGACAGAAGCACCGGTTAATGAGACATGGCAGGTGGCTAATTAGCACCTGTCTTCTTGTCTGTGGGAGTTAGAAATCCACTTACCTTGTTGCGCACACAATATGTTCAGCATTTTTCCTCCAGCCTCCTGTCTGGAGAGTTTCATACAGCACTAGTCCCTGACACGGCAAAGAGCTAACTCTTCATGGCCGTGTGACACTGCTTTTCTACACGACTTTGCTTCTGAGGATCTCCAAGCATTTTACAAACACTAATGACTTCACCCTGTCAGGGAGAGGTAAGTAGCTACCATCTGGCAGACTTGGTGACGTGACTGGTCTAAGATCATTTCACCAAGGCAGAGCCAGGAATAGAAGTAAAATCCTCATGCTTTAACCACTAGACTGTTCTCCCTCCCATAAGGGCCCTAAAACAATGCTCTTCTGTCATTCCCAGGAGATCGCTTTCAGTTCTTTGTAAGGGAATTATTAGTTGTATTGCCATAGTGCTTAAAAGCTCCAGTCCTGGACTAGGACTCCATTGTGCTGGATACTGTACAAACAGAATAGAGAGCTTCCGATCTAAGTATTACTGTGAACAATTCCTCTGCTCCTACTGTGTTTTCCCCATCTGAAGTTACAATCCCCTGTGTGACATTTTAAGGTGCTTTCCATCTACAACACCCTGGCTGCCCATGAGGCTGCTCCACCCTTGCAGCCAGGTGTTCCTGCTGACAGTCGCTAGATTTGCACTCTGGGGGACTGGAAGTGGGACAACAGCAGTGGAGGGCTCTCAACTCTGGAACTCAGTCCCCAGATAGATTGGGACCATGCATTTGCTAGAGGGGCGGCAGTGTAAGAGAAACATGCTTTCTGGGGATGCGATGGGGCTGGTGTCTCAGCTCTGTACTGTATCACAGCCCTATTACTGGGGAGCCTGGCTGTTAATCTCCCACCATCCTCCACTCCACAAACTATCTGCCATTCAATGGAAATCCTTCTCAGCAACACTGTGATTTTATTAAAAACGTGACATGGTCAGCTTAATATATATATTTTTAAAAACAAGATTGGGCTTTCTGAGCTGCTGAGCACCTAGGCTCAATGGCATGCTAGAGCGTGGAAACTGAAGAATGTTACCCTCTAATTTCCTTTGCCCCATTTATTGCGGTTGTTTACTTTTTGCATCTTTTACTCTGGACAGTGTACGCTGGTCGGGTTCAGTGGTGCATCTCTGGTCAGTTTTACTTTCAGAAGCTCCAGCAGGGGCATGCCCTTATGTGGGCTGCAGACATAGCAGGGAAAAGTTTAAATCCAAACAAAAACCCACATGCCAGGCCTAAGCTGGCCTGACGGAGTCCCTGGAATAATCTCTTACCTGTAAATGCCCTCAGAGAGCCTCAGCAATGGGTGCAGGTTTTATAAAGGTAAGAAAACAAAAAGAAGGACCCACCATCAGCACCACATCAACCTGTAGAGGGTTACTGCCTGCTAAGTGGTATGAGACAATGGAAAAGTACGGCCAGTTTTAAGGAGTTCTGAATCACCTTCCTGGAGCCATGGGCTTGAGATTCAATTCCTGGCCACAGAGTCTGGTCACAAAAGGGCTTAAGATAAACCCCAAGCTGCCTCTGTCCTGCTGTTTATGAGGGAGAGTCTCAAAGATGCCTAAGCAACTTGGGAGCGTAAGTCCCACCAAAAGTCAATGGGACTTAATGCTCCTGAATGCTTTATAGGTCCCTGTGGAAATCTCACCCCACATCACCACTGCATACATTTAATCAATCTTAGCCTGGGACGCTGCTTGAAAGCTCATGGCAGCTGTTCACGTCAGGGCTATAACTGCAGCCAATCAATACTACCCAAGAAACCCCTTGGGCTCTGCTTGTTAGCAGTATTCTCTCCATAAATGTCAGCTCCATGGGGCCAGGACTGCATTTCATTCCCTGCGCTGAACAGGCCATCAGCAAACAACACCTTTCCCTCTGGTTTTCATTCCTGGTGCATTGGCACTGGGGAGGCTGTCAGGGATGGTCGGTCAGCCAGCCAGCCAATCGTGGGGCAGGGACACTAGTAGGCAGAAACCAGAACTGTGCATATTGCCTTCCAAACAAGGCTCTCAAGCTGCGCTATAAATATCACAGCATGGGCTAATCTTCGCAGTGTGCCTGTGAAGTAAGCATTACTCCCACTTTACAGAGTGACAGAGGTCCCAGTGCAACTCAGCACCATGGTCCAGAACAGACTCTAGCCCAGGGGTAGGCAACCTATGGCATGCGTGCCCAAGGCGGCACACGAGCTGATTTTCAGTGGCACTCACACTGCCCGGGTCCAGGGGGCTCTGCATTTTAATTTAATTTTAAATGAAGCTTTTTAAACATTTTAAAAACCTTATTTACATTCCATACAACAATAGTTTAGTTATATATTATAGATTTATAGAAAGACCTTCTAAAGACGTTAAAATGTATTACTGGCACGCAAAACCTTAAATTAGAGTGAATAAATGAAGACTCGGCACACCACTTCTGAAAGGTTGCCGACCCCTGCTCTAGCCAGTGGTGGGCTGTAACCTGGAGACCACATTCCCTGTGTTTCCAGCACAGCGTTCTATGAGCTGCAGGTACAGTTTCAAAGATGAATTTCATGCCATTCTTTCTCTCTCAATAAGCATAATGCCAGCTCTGGCCCTGCATGCAGCGTTCTTTAGTCCTTCCTTTCAAGCTAGGGTGACCAGATGTCCCAATTTTACAGGGACAGTTCCGATTTTTGGGTCTTTTTCTTATATAGGCTCCTATTACCCCCCCCAGCCCCTGTCCTGATTTTTTACACTTGCTGTCTGGTCACCCTATTTCAAGCTGAGTTTACTGGTCTCCTTCATCCAAGTTAGAAATCTAGTCCATAAAAGGCTCACAGGGTCCAGTTCATCCAGAACCCTTGTAGCTATTTACACTCATACAATGAGGGTGAAAAATGGTACCCTTGTGATTTCGTAGTGCTTCACTTTGCACTGATGTAAATGACTACACAAGGCGCAAGGCTGAACTGGGCCCACAGAAAAATCCTCCATCCTAAATAGGAGCTGACCTCCCAGAGTAACCTGGAGCCAACAAGTTAGTCCAGCTAAAAGAAAAGTCACACTAAACAAGTTTGACAGTGTTTTTTTTTAATAAATAATATTTTGGCACAGAAATATACCAAGTTTTACAGAATACAAACTGCAGGGTTAATTACTGTGAATATTACAGAGAGAGAGAGGGGAAGAAATTCCCATCTATCTCCCTCTGTTCCTTTTCAGGCTCCGGTGGATCCTGATCATATATATAGACCATATATACCTCTCAGCCCGCTAAGGCCCACGTGTGGAACACAGACCCAGAAGGAGAGAGACACAACAAACAGTAGTGCAGACATCTGCAAACAATGCAAGCGCGGCGCCTGGAACAGAAATAACATTTTCCCTAACCCTCTGTTTCCTGAGTCCACCTTTCTGCTATCAGACATTTTCCAGAACGAAGGAGTGAGAACACAGGATGTGCTTGGGCCAGAGGCAAACCTTGGACAGTTGAGAGGTATATGTAGTGACGGGAGTTTCCACCCAGCTGAAATGTCCTTTCAGGTGCTCGTGGGGGGAGATTTGTGCTCGGTAACATTACAGGGATGGCAGTGCTGGACATTTCAATATTAGCAGTGAGACCACCACATTGGGGGGATGCCAACAAGGGGGGGGCATGAGGGAGAGAGCAGGAGTCCCCCTTGCTAAGCAGAGATCCTTGCAATGAGGAACTCACCAGCAGGGTTGTAAAGGAGCCAGTTGGAGGTGCAACTCAGAGAAGCAACTGGATTGCTTTCCAAGATGGCATGCAACAGGAGTACGGGCAGTTTCATTCCCTCAGTAATTCCTTTCATGCTTATCCTAAGTGTGAGCTGTGGGTCCTTGTACCAATCAGGGCATAAGTGCACTGTGCAACTCAGGGGCACTACACAAACATCACCAATAATCCATTTCTCCTCAAGAAAGTAACAGAGCCGAACCATTGTTCGGATCCAGTAAGCAGTAATCAGCTACTCTTCCAAAGGGGACACCTTCATGTTAAATATCAGACCCTGCAAGACAGAATTGGCCTTCCAGTGTTATTAGCAACACTTTGGATTCCTAAAAGCAAACAGAGTTCACTTTATGCCATTTGTGTACTGGGTGCATTTCATGGCCACGCTGCCCTGGGTCACTTTCTGATCACTGTCAGTTTTACTGTCTGGCTCCTCTGCCTTAGCACAATGTTGCAGCTTTTAGATTCATATAGGGCTCCAGAAGAGGTTTAAAGAGTTTGGGGCACACAGTTTTTGTTGATTTCATTAAACCTTTTGCTGGGGTTTCTCTTTGATTTTACTGTCCTCATTGTGCTTCTGTTTTCTGAAGACGGGGGAAGAGAAGGAAAGAATTTGGAGTGAGGCAAAAGCCCACCGGGAAACAATAACAAAGGTGATGTCAGTCAGACAGCCAAATTCACAGCTGGTGTATGACAATGGAGTTGTGCCCTCATAAGAGCAGGGACTTTGGTCCACTGTTTAATTAAGTTGCTCTCTGTAACTACTCATGATGTTCAGTTCTCAATGCTCCGACCCCAATAAAAAGCCAGTGACTAAAACACAGATTTTGCTAAAAAAAATATTTAGAAAACCAAACATGATCAGTGCATCTGACACTGTTTCTTTAAAAAAAAATATGCTGGCAAAATTCTGAGAGATCCAGGCCTTAGCCAAACCAGCCCACACCCTCAATTTCTGCACATTCCAGGCATTCTGAAATGGGCCCAAGAACAGATACGAGGGAGCAGCATGGGAGCGTGAGGTCCACTATTGCTGATGGAAGCTGGGACAGGGAGTGTGCACTGCAACTCTAGAAGGTCTGACAGCGCATTCTGGTTTTAAAGTGGTAGCCCTAGAGCCT